AAACATCAGACGGATGCCTTAACACCACTCTTAGGGATTTTCAAACAAATTGCATGGGCCTCACCTTTACATACGAGCTTCCCGCTGATAAGTCTATCAGGTTTCTGGATTTGGCCTTAGACTTCCAAAAGGAACACGTTTGTTGGAGGTACGAAACGCGATCGGGGAAAGGGTTCCTTCCGTTTGACTCAGAACATTCGAAAAATGTAAAGCAAGGGGTCGCCACTACAGCTCTCACAGCTAGCCTCAGAAAAACATGTTCCCATCAGATGGGACAAAGCTTCAAGACCCAAATCTCCAGACTCCATGAGGCCGGGTATCCGAGACCCTTCTTAGCCTCCATATGTGAAAAACTCTGCCAAAACATCAAGAGATCCAGCCAAAAGAATGACTCTAACACACGGAAAAAGGTTCCTAGATCACCTTTCGCGGTGGTTCCGTATATTCATGGAGTCACACATAGATTGAAAAAGATCGCCACAAGGCAGGGCGTCAAAGTAGTGTGCTCGGCACCAAACAAGGGATATGCCATGTGCCGGAAGGTTAATCTAGGGGAGGCCAACAACACCGGCACTTGCAACACCAAACATAAGAATAAGTACGTCCAATGCGAAAAGGGAGTAGTGTATAACATACCACTGTCATGTGGGCGTGTGTATATTGGACAAACGGGAAGGTGCGTGAACGATCGAGCACGTGAGCATGCAGCAAACATAAGAGCCCTAACAGGGCCGGGGCATTTAGCCGCTCATTGTCGAGCATGCACGTGCGAGGCCAAGCTCGACCTGGGTACCATATTAGCTCACCACAAAGACCAGCTCGCCCGTGAAATACTTGAGGCCTTGGCCATAGAAGATAAAGAAGAAAATTGCGTTAGTACACCATCTATTGCGCTACAGGAAAGCGAAAAAAGATTCCTCCGGAAAACCAGTATCCGAGATGGAACAGAAAAATCAAGTAGGAAGAAGAGAAGGTAGCCACAACGCCAGTAGACAATGAGAGGAAAACGAAGAATCTTTATTAAATAGTTGGTAGTCCAGCGATCACCTGTCTTTACTCCTTTCTCCCTAATTTCGTAGTTCAGCTGGTTTAACCGTTGTAGTATGGGGCGATGGACGAACCTGAGGCGCACTGGGTTGGAGAGTATTTGTAGAGAAAACAACGTCCACGTTAGGCTTCTTGTGTGCTACCGGTTCGTTTTCTTTTTGCTGCTCTTAGTTTTCTTTCGCTGCTCGCATTTATACATCGGCCAAACTGGCCGATGTATAAATGATAGAGCAAGGGAGCACGCAGCCTCGGTGAGAAGCACATCAGCAGGAATATGAATATGAATACCCAACTCGCCCAAGCATCCATTCTAAGAATCAGCAGGACATTTGTCAGCTCATTGCCGGACCTGTGGATGCGATGCCGAGCTCACCAGCATAACCGTCCTTCATAGGAAAAGAACTCCTTCTCGCGTGAAGTGCTGGAGGCCTTGGCCATCGAAGAAAAAGGAGAAGATTGCGGTCTGCCACACCCCGTTGAATACTATACTTCGTTTCAGCTTCGGTCCAGACGCAGCCGATGCTACAAGCGCGAGCATGTGGCCCAGAACAGTGCTTGCACTGCACGAGCGCGCGTGCTTGGCAGGGATGCTGAAAGCCCGGAGCTCGCGCTTGTAGCTTTGGCTGCGTCTGGACCGAAGCTGAAACGAAGTATAGGCTAAAAGGTTTTTATAAGTGTTTATTCTGCCGTTAGACGAAGAAAAAGAAAGAAAAAAGGGCCTAGGCCGGGGAGAAGACAAAGTAAAATTCAGTTGATAGTCAGCGTTGTCTTTGTCCAGTTCTTTCCTTCGTGTCCTTGATATTTCGTGTTCAGTTGACCTGATTGCCAAAAAAAGGTTCTCACCTTGGGTTGATGATCTGGAGGACCAGCGTTGAAACCGACCGAGGGCTGACGGTCGTGGACGCGAGTAGCTAAACAGTGTAGGGTGTAGGGTTGCGGGTGTGCCTTGTCTAACGCCGGCTGTGATCATCTCCGCACTTCGCAAAGCTCTATACCTGTAATATAATGGGCGCTACATAGTCTGGACAGCTGACTCGGCTTCCAGTTCTTCGAGGGATCGGACTTGTCAACTCTCCTGACGGTACGAATCCAGGCTGCTCGCTTAACGGGATGAAGCTTAGCACACGGGAAGCGAAGAAAGCTAGTTCCACAACCCGGGCGATAATAGTTCCGACAGCCGAAGTTCACCGGCATGATTGCGGTGCACGTCGTAATCTAGAACGGGCGTCGTCAGTACGATGACTCGTGTTCACCTTATTCGCAACATCAAAGCTTGAGTCTCGATGGTCTCCAAGGCGTGCGAAGGCGAGAAAAGCAAGATGGTGGATTGTTTAGAACTAGATACTCTCGAACCCAGGCGCATCAAATACTCCGCGCATGCGCACCGCGTATTTCTACAAAAGGTCCATTATCTTAGTTCGTTTTTTATTCCGCTTTTAATATACCGCAGTGCCTAGTATTGAAAAAAAAAAAAAAAAAGAAAAGATTTCTCCAGTTACAAAGTTCTATCCTCCACGATAATTTACGTAAACGGTCGGTTGAATGTAAATTGTTGTGTGTATGTCTATACAGCCGGAAGTTAGTCTGCCTCAGTGGGCGTCTGGTGTCTCAGCTGTAGATGAGCAGTTTAGCCAGTGCAGTACAACCGCTAACCTGGGGTCTTTAACGTGCACCACGCAGTAGTAATACACGACCACACGCCGGTGCGATGCTCATCCGTGTTATCTATTAACAACCATGTTATCCATTAAAGATAACACGGTTTCAATAGAGCAGTTTTGTTAAGATAATGGCGGAGCGGAATGTAACGATTTACTTTTTTGGTATTTGCACTACTTTGTTTTGTTCACCTCTCCAAGTATTGCCCTAAATTTGTAAATTTTCAGCACAGACGAGTTTTAATGACATGCGCTAGGGCAATGAAATTAGCTACGAATGTAGTGCTAATAACTGGTAATATGCAGAAAAGATTTAATGTTGTGTAAAATTTTTTTGTTTAGATATTCTATGTAAACTTACAAATTCTCGAACGCTCGTTGCTTGCCGTCGTTGGACGCCGCTCATTCATAGCGTCTTCCTATTCATTCTGATGTTTTTCATTATATTCCTCCTAAGCTGTACTTACAACATTATGTATGTCGGTACTTCCGAAAATATTGTAACGGCAATGATATTGTAGTGAGTGCGCAGGCGAGCTGGTGGAAATTAACCATTCTGATGTTAGCCTGAGACTGAGGCAGGAAAAGAGGAAGTTTCAAAGTAGAAGAAAAAGGAACAGTCGAGGATACGTCTCTAACACAGCTAAAGACAAGTTTATTCGGTCACCCTCTTATATACACTCCACAATCTTCACCACAGAACCTTCCCGACCTCCAAAGCCAAAAGATAACAAAGAACTCATCTCTTTCGAAAGAGATGAGTTCTTTGTTATCTTTTGGCTTTGGAGGTCGGGAAGAGTAGAGTGAAAGCCAGCTAGCTTTGCGTCTAACGCTCTGGCGTTCCCGCGCACACTCGTTTCATTCTCTCCCTCAGTCTATATACCTGCATTGATTCCCAGGGCCCGTTTTCTCGAACGCGAACCGTGGGTTAAAGTTAACTATTGTCCCTAAAAGGGGGAATTCTGGGTCACGTGACTGGGAGAGCAGGGGCGCTGAGGGAGGAGCAGTACCTACAAGCAAAATGGCCGCGACGTCGCTTAATGAGGGCTAATAGTTCTGCCTGGTTCTTCTGAACATTCATTTCGATCCGGCTGTTATATTAATGACGCACCATCAACCTATTAACACGTGAAGCAAAGCGGTAGTTCAGAGGGACTGGTAAACTAACCGACGGCAGCATTCCGCGAACGCATCTCTTCAGCAGTCCGGGATCCAAGACATATGACGGTACATAAGCCTTGCAAGTGTTTTTATGGTGAGTAAAAAATTTTTTTGCGAACGAGTGTTGGTATATATTTATACTAACACGTTTAATTTGTTACACTATGCACGTCAACTCGTGAGCAGCGATTACTTTGAGGAGAAAGGGGGTTATTCTCGATAAAGTCTTCGTTCCGGGTGAACAGCTGGGACATTGTACTGTTTTTTTGTTTGCAGTGCGCCGACACTATGCAGACAGCATTGAGGTTTCTACATATTCCCGGTGGCCAGCAATTCAACGCTGACGAGAAGCTTAGCTTCTCGTCACCGGTGGATCGGTTGGGCAAACCGAAGAGTGGGCAAGCAGTTGAGATCAGCAGGAATCGCAGAAACGTGCGTCGCAAGGAACAAAAACGAGACTACAGCACCGACGTTGCCAGACTGAAAGGCACACGGGAAAATTTTCCGTTGTTTATTCGATAGAATATACTGAAGGAAATGTTTCTTACATTTTTTAATATTCATCGACAAACTCTAGCATAGTAGCTAAAATTTCCACGTACCATCTGAAGCAAATAAATTGGTCTTCAAGTACAACTTTACTATATTTTGACTTAAAATACCATACTAGATCAATAACAACCAGCGGAAAAAGAGGATAAACAAAATGACTGGCTTGTTTCACCGATAGATGACGCATCTCACTGCCCAATCCAAAATAATTATTGCTGCTCTATATCCAGCCGTTTATTACAGTACCTAGGTACTTTTTCCTTCCTAGGCACCGTGGTTTACCAAAATGGCTTTACCATCGCTTCGAGCAAACCGGCCCAGCTAGCGGGTTCGAATCCCAGCCGGTCCTACGACAAACTGCCGAAGGCTTATTGCGAGGGTGCCGCCGTGTAACCGAGATTCCGGTTGCACGTCAAGAGGTCCTCAGTCCTCCGCTGCGGCGCACCAGATTCCCCTGGCTTGTTTGGCACGCAAACCACCCCCCTAATTTGACTCTTGAAATTCAACTGTCGGAACAGGTTAAATGTATCGTACTAATATATATTTATTTTAAACTTTATTTTATAGCCGCACTGTAAAAGTTCACTGTGCGTAGTCGTCCAGGATGGTCCGCACCAGCTTGATGCGGTCGTGGTCACCCAACCCGGCCGTTTTCAGCTCGCAGTCGCCGGCCCTGAACACTTCCTGCTGAATGTCGAACAAGGCCCAGCCGATGCCTGAGCTGCCCTTCTTGAGCAGAATGTCCAGACACCTCTTCACCTGGACAAAACGAGCAATTGTCATCAAGTTACTATGCCATGTTTAGACGCTTTTAAAGGAGCGATGCAACAATTTTTGTACTGTGTACAAATACCGCTTAAAACGGATCTCTAACGTTAATGACCTATGAAACACGCGTTCGTTTTTCACCCCACGCAATAGAAGTCCCAGAAAAAAATTAAAGAAAGACGAGCAGCGTTCACCCCCTCAACTCGCAGCCAGAACAAGCGGCCACGTGATCTGGAGCCGATTATATGCTGCCAGTGTTGATCATAGCCACGCGCTGGGGTTGGCAAAGCGCAGGACACGCGCTGAGTTCATGACATTGTTATGGCTCGGCTGTTGTCGTCGTTGCAGCGATTGGACACGGGTCACAACCCGAATGCTTCTCGAGCTAGCAATTGTCACGAGCCCAAGTCGAGTGCCCACGCAATGCTCGGGTCCAATCTATGAACCGCATTCAAATATCGTCACTTGGGTGTACTGAGATCCCCACGTTACGTCATCAAATTTTGCAAAGGAGAGATTGAATGAAAGTGATCGCTTTTGTCCTTGAAATTACACCGTAACAAAGGAGTTTCTTGGCCAATGGCGTTGCGTGTGAGTACCCTTGAGTCCCAGGTGTGCCAGTAAGCCCGTGTAGAGAGAAAAACATTCCAACTGAATATCGTTGCACAGCTCCTTTAAAGAGGCGACAAAACGGCGCTTGTTTTGAATGTCACCAGAACCACTGAATAGCCGCTTAAAATATGTAATGGCGAGAGACGCGCCTGCGCCATCTAGCAAGTAGACGTGCAACACTTGGCATTTCCCTCTATGTTCTATATTTTTCGCGTCGTTCTTTCTTTCTTTTCTCGAAAAAACATTTGGACAATGTTATAAGCGACAATTTCTCATAGATAGTATGCACGTTTGAACTCGCAAATATCGCAAAATCTTCGCCTAAGCGAGACGCTGTTCCAGGTTCACCTCATAGATGGCGCCAGTGTGCCAGTGTGTTCTCGTGTCGTAATAGAACACAAGAACTCGGTCCCAAACAAACCCAAGTGTGCGAACTCCGGGCCTTCAAGAGTATAGTGACATTTCAGCCACCTGAATCATAATGTCACACCCAAAGCTGTAATGCAAAAATACTTTAAAAAAAACCTTCCAGGTTATTTATTAGCGATAATTGTTTGCTTGCTTTCCAGATTTCTTTGTTGCGACCAAAGAACTTTAAAGAAACTAAAACTATTCGTAACTATACAAAAGCAAGTTTTGAAGCAATTAATAACGAACTGTCCATTTTTCTTGATATCCTTTTAATGGTTTTGATAATCGCACTGTACAAACTAATTGGAATATTTTTGTGGCTAAAGTGAATGATTTAACTAATAAATACATTCCCACTTTCACCATCATATCTAATGGTGATGCTCCGTGGTATAGCCGTAACCTCAAACGTTTATCAAACAAAAAGAAGCGCCTTTATAGATCAGCTAAACTATCTGGTAATGGTGCCCGCTGGACTGATTACACACATGCCTCCGACGAATATGTAGTTGCACTAAAAATTGCTAGGGAAAAATTTCTTCAAAGCGCTTTGCCATCCATGTTAATAAACGACATTAGAAAATTTGGGCGTGTTATGCAAACAAAAGATGAGGATATACGATCACTTTAGTTGACAGCGCTGGAAACGTAATTCCTTCTAGCCAGTGGGCATTGGTGCTGAATGAAGTATTTTCATGCAGCTTTTCTGTAACTTCAGGTTTCCCGATACCCAATACTCATGGCTTTGACTGTCTTGTAATGTCTCCCATACTCACTGAACCTGCTGGTGTGGAGAGTCTCATTAGGTCACTTAAATACCAGTGTTTCTTCTTCTATCACACTTTCTAAGATTTTTCATCAGTCGCTTGACAACGGTTATCTTCATGGAGAATGAAAAGTCGGGATGGTGATTCCACGCCATAAATCAGGTAGCAGGTTTTCTCCTTTCAATTACCGACCCATTTCACTAACCAGCATTCCTAGTAAACTTCTTGAACACATTCTGTTTTCGCATCTTGTTACATTTCTTGAATTAAACTGCTTTTTCACACATTCACAGCATGACTTCCGCAAAACTTACTCCTGTGAAACTGAATGGGTATCATTTACGCATAAACTAAACCTCATTCTTGACCATTCCTCATTTGCCGATTGCATTTTTTTTTTCAGACTTTTTTAAAGCATTTGACAAGGTATGCCGCAAACTTTTGCTATATAAACTACACCAACTTAACCTTGATCACAAACTTCTCGCATGAATTGAATGTTTTCTTCTTAACCGTTCACAGTTTGTTTCAGCTAACAACTCTAACTCGCAGCCAAATGGTGTTCAGTCCGGTGTGCCACAGGGTTCTGTTCTTGGTCCTCTCCTTTTCCTTATCTTCGAAAACGTTCTACCTTCTTGCGTGTCTTCCAACATTCTCTTGTTTGCCGATGACTGCGTGGTCTTTCTTGAAATAACTTGTGATGACAATATAACTAACCTTCAGTCGGACCTTAATGCCATCTCTGAATGGTGCAAAGCATGGTATATGAACCTAAACGTTAATAAATGCAAATATATGCGCGTATCTATGAAAAGCAAATAGTTTTCCCACCTAATTTCTAAATCATCGTCCCCTTGATGCCGTCACATCTTACAAACACCTTGGTATTCACATTACAGCAGATTTCACTTGGACCGCTCACATCTCGTATGCCATTAACAACTCTAACAGAATGCTTGGATACATCCGACGCAACTTCTCAAAAGCCCCTTCGTTGTTAACACTTTAGTTATATAAAGCACTAATCCGTACCAAACTTGAATAGGCTTCATCTGTGTGGGTCCTTACCAAGAAAACTTAATAGGTTCACTTGAAAGGGTTAAAAATAATTCAATTCGTTTTATCCTATCTAAATATGACAGAGCTGCCAGCATGAGCTCAATGAAATCTAGCCCCAACCTACCAGCTCTAGATCTCGCCGTAGATTATTTCGACTATGTCTATTTCACAAGCTCTTTCATCACCCATATCTACGCCACGATTTTATTTTACCTCCCCCGTATATTTCATCCAGGTTGGATCATGCCCTTAAATTTGGAATTTCACTCTGCAAAACTAACGCTTTTTTTTTTCAGCCCTTTTGCCCACGCACATCAGATGAGTGGAATTGCCTTCCCACACCTACGGCAGCAATCGAAGACCACAATTTTTTCAAGAACGCCTTAGCTATTGCTGTATGATTAGGAGCCTCTCATTTGTCTATACAAATAACTGCACAATGTTGTACTATCTTATGAAATGTAATCCACTCCCCTCTATAATGCCTCAAGCGTTGAGAGTAAATAAATAAATCAATGAGTTTTGAAAGACGTTTGGCGAAAATAGAGGCAAATGTTGTATTTTCTTGTATCTGCCTCAAGAAGCGCTGCGGGAGTTCAGAACTCTTCAAACATCTACCATCATCAGATCGCAGAAAGCAAGAAGACAATCAAGTCCTGATCGAGGAACTCCAAAAGTCTAGTGGTTGAATCTGGATTGAGGGGTCATTCCGCTGTAGCTTCCACATGGAGTACCTCCGTGAAGAAGTCGGTGACGTCAGCATCGTGTGCTTATAATGGTGTATTCACACGATGGAGATTTCTTCCACAGCGAACGTCATCGCTCTTCGAGGTCACATGCGCCACAACAGGGATGCTAGCTATACTCCCATCACCCTCAAGCTGAGGCTGCAGTCAATACTACAACCACCAGAGCACGAGGTCGAGCTCTGATATGTCCTTCTTCAGAACGAGCGCTCGCGCTAGAAAAACCCGTCTCAAAGCCAGAAGCGCGGGCTAGCTCGCACTTGCAGCTTTGGCTGTAATATCAGCTTAAAGGTGAACGGTGTATAGGGAGTATTCACTGGCGGCCATAGCTGTGTGCGCGAATGCTGAGCGCGTGCTAATGGCGAACTTCCTCAGTTTTTTTGCAACGTGCATTCCGCACCATCAAGAGTGCCGGTCTTAGCAGCCTATTGATGTGAGCTCGTTCTGAGCATGCGCTATAAACAGCACCCACAAATATGGCGCCCAGTGAATACTCCCTACAGGAAGCAACCATAATGTAACGCAGGTTACCTCCAAGTGCGACGACGTTTTACTGCTCTCTGGGAAAGAAATTTCGTTCGTGTGAATATACCGTTAGGAGCGAGAAAGATAAATAAAATCAGCTGCGGCTGAGACTTTCTCCTACTGTTGTCTTTCCCTTCGATTTGAAAGTTATTTTCTTCCGCACCACACTTTTGGGTGTTACGTTTACGAAAATTATCACCAGCTCGCCGGTACACTCACAGTTTATTTGTTAATCTCGTCCGCAGCTTTATCTGAAATTGCAGGGTATAAGGTACGCTTTTTTATCTTTCAGAAATGTTAAAACAGTTCGCCACGACGAAGCAAAACGCCATTGCCTGAGCTACCTCACAGCGTATAGACCAACTCAACTCTCTGACGTCACGCCACTGTGGTGGCGCAGCTGTCGGTATTGCGCACGCGCAGAAACTTCGCTTCGCGCCATCGTTTTTTTTTTTTTTTTTCTGGGCACGCGCACTTTCGCATTTGGTGTGGGCAAACACGGGCTCGTTCGTATCTGAACTGGAATACATCTAAAGCTCAGGAAGCCGCATTCCGGAATCTTATACCTCTGTACCAGGCCTAAATGACGCATAGTTAACGCGTAGCCGCCAATAGTGTGGTATCATCGCTTCCGGCGTGAAGCCCGTGATTGATTCCGATTTCGCGCCGAGCATTGACGCAGCACTCGTTTAGAATGCGTTACGACCCGAGGACATTCTGAATGTTGACGAAGCGGTCATGTCCAATGCGTGCTTGGAGTGCACGACCAACGAATGGCGGCCGCACATAATCTATGCAACATTTCGAAATTTCGAAAAGGGACTATTGGTATGACACAAGTATATTCGCACGCAATGCCGCTAAAACTTTT